ACCCCATACATTATTTATTTTTTTCGTTTTTCGTTGGGGGCACTCTTTCTATTATGCTTTCTTTGCTCTTTTAAAAAAAGGCCCCGCACCTTTTTGGGAAGTGAAGCTTAAAACAAATCCAAACTAATTGTTTAATTTCTCAATACCCCTATTTTTACATTTACATTCATTTCATTTTATTCCCTTGCGCTTTCTTGTAATCATTAATTGGGGTGGGTTCCCAAATTTTTAACAAAAGAAACCCTTGGTTCCCCGGGATTAGCATTTTCATTCAAATTTTTAAAAGAACCCTTGTCCCCGGGTGATTAGCAAATTTTTTTAGTTTCCCAAAAAAACCCTTTTTTCCAAAAAGGGTTTGCAAATTAAACATTTAAATTTCAAAAAAAACCAAATTTTCTCAGGAGATTACATTATCTACTTATTTTGGATTAATTCGGATTAAAATTAAAATCAAAAATTTTTCTCCAATTTTTAAAAGGAAACCCCTTGTCTCTGGGGGTTTTGGATTAAAACTTAAATTTTCTCGGAATTAATTGGGGTTTACTAATCCGGATTTCTTATCTTTCCCTTTCCCAAAATTTTCCCTTTTTTTAAATTCCGAAAAATCAAAAATCTCAAAAATGATATACTCTTTTAAAACTTCACATGATTTTTTAAAAAAAAATTTGGCATACAAACCCAAAAGCTTTTTTTTAATGTTTTTTATTTATTTTTTAAAATGGCATTTTATGCCTATCTTTAAAATGTAAATGGTTTAGTGCACAGGTAAAAGTTTAAAATTTCATAAAATTTTTGCCATAATTGTTTTTTTAATTTTTCAAATATAATCAATTTAATTCCACGTGACCCTAAGGGGAAATTTTTTATAAATATTGGTAGGGATATAGGATCAATTTTGAAAGAGGGGGGGGGGGTTTTTTAAAAATATAAGTGGTTTTTTAAAATTTTTTTTAAACATTTTTCTTTCATTAATTTTTGGGCAATTTTACCCCTTTAAAAGGTTTAAAACTCTTGAAAAAATTTTTTAATATTTCCCTTTACTTTTTAAGACAGTCGTTAAAAAGAATGGATAACTTTCCCCGGGGAAAAAAGTTTTTACAAAGAATTTTAAATGAGTTCAAATTTTCAATTAGATTTAAAAATGGCAATGGGGAAAAAGAATTTTAAAAAAGGAAAAATATAATTTTTTAAAATTTAAGACCAATACCGGAAGCGGGGCGACACTGAAAACGGAACTCGAGGGGAATGATAGTCCGTTAGGGGACTAATAAAGTTTCCCAAACATCACAAGGTATCACAAGGTATATATTCAACTCAACTTGAGAGCGAAAAAATTAAGCATTGTGCAATAAAAGCTTTGCTTTTTACTTGATATCTTTATGGTATTTATTGAAGTTACATATGATAATCTCTTTTATGTTATGATCTGACATGTATGTTACTCATTTATAATACTTCAAGTTTGTAATGTCGCATTCCATTAAATAATTCTGAAGTATATATGATTTATACACGTTTGCTGTCGATCAAACTAATTTTTGTTTTTCCTCAAATAAAGTAATTCTTCTGTATTTTAAATTCGTTATAAAAATGTCTGACATTTTATATGGCCGTATAAACGGTTGTTTGCAACAATTTAACCACCCCTCGCTTACAGGCTCTGGTTATATAAATGAATTTTGGCTCGCTAATAAGCTCGCTCGCTCACCGGATAAACCTTCTCTATTCCGAAAACAACCATGTATTCTCTATATATTATTATTATTTATTATTTTATTATATTCTGATCTATACATACATATACAATTAAAACAATATACATACAGTTAATTGTATAGCCATTCTTTTAAGAACTATAACAGACTGTTATAGTTTATAAGCGGGGCAACTCCTCAGTCTACAGAGATCTATAATATCTACTGTAGATTTACCTCCCTTAGTTACATAATTATACACATTTACATGTCAATATAAACACATCATAATTAATATCTCTTAGAAATTTACAAGTAAAACAGCATATTCCAAGCATTGAATAATTAAATTGTACTAATATATTATACCGACAACATAACTGTATGATTAATTACATTAGGGTTGTTAATTAATATTAAAATGGAAGAATGAAATCTCATGACTGTACTAAATCCTAAATGGTTGTCTCCTTATCAATGTACTAAAACCATCTATACATACTCATTTTATTTTGTCTTTATACATTTTAAAAGTTTGATAACAACCACTGACCTCAAACTTTTAGAATGTATAGTCTCTGGGTTAAGCAAACAGAAGGATATATAAGTCTGAAAATAAAGATCTTTTGAAATAAGTTTTATACACGTTATAGCGTATATACCTTTCTATGTTTGAAATATCAAATTTAACTTAATTTTAAATCTTAAAAATTCGCTTATTATCCGTTAAAAAAATACCTAACCAACTTATTTTAAACGCTATCGATTTGTAATCAATATTTACACACTTTCTTAAGCGACAGGTTTTAATTCTACAACTAGGTACATGTAGTAATAATTACATTTCAATTACAAGACAATAAGTGTTAAATTTACAAAATGTCGCTTGAAGGGATAAAAGATTGTTAACTTTGAAATTGAATTATTGTCAGTTTTAAAAAACAAACGCCAGAGGGAGTACTTATACGTGAAAGTAATAAATTGGGAAGATCTGCTTTTCTTGTTAAAATATATTGATTTACATGGAGTAACATACATAATTTTGGTATTTTATAAAGAAAAAAAAACGAAGAAGGGATAAAAGCATTAAATGTACAAGAGAGTCTATTGAAAAGTAAACACTAACAGACAGTGACTTTATAAAGAATATTCGCGAATGTTAAATTTAGTGATTCAGTTATATAAAAAAAAAGTTTTTATAGGAACGTGGAATTAACACTGCCTTTAAATAACACAACAAATTCTAAGTGGAGAAGAATAGAAAAAGACGTAATAAAGGGGAAAGAAGTGACATACATGTATATACTAAAAAGCAATATCCGAGAAAATATGCGAATAAGACAAAACTGACAAAAAATATAATATAGGTTTTAGTGCAAGTGAAAATCGCGATTTGGTTCCATGGAAACAATGGCTGTAACGTTTTTGAAGAAGTTACCACGAATTCTAATATGGCTATGTCTAATTTCTTTATTTTTCGCGATCAACTATGTAATTATAGATAGTTATAACTCATTTCAAGGGAATCCAACTCAAAGTAAAACTAGTGGTATGCATATTTCAAAAACCGTGGCTTATAGTAATGCCAGTACTAAACTTAAAAAGAACAATCTTGTTAATCATGATAAGATAAAAGGTATGTTAAAAAAATTAACTATTTACCTGACACATTTATTTTTTTTACACAAACATGCAACAATTAATATCATCTCAACGTGGTAATGTAATCAAGTGGCTGCTGGACTAGTAACGAATATCTAGCCTTTATTTAAAAGAAATGGTTTACAAATTTGTAAAAAATAATGCTTACTAGTCTTTTACAATTCTATTTTAGAATTGCTACGAGCAATATATATATGTATAAATTTTATGTATTTACTTTATGAATTGTACAAAGATGACACTTAAATAAAACATTAAACATGCATTCGCTAAGCGGGGTGGGGGTGTATCTATACTTTTATCGCTGTTAACGCATTTATGTAACATCTAAATAACTGTTATAGTACATTTGTATAAAGGTACCTTAAGACACTTTTGCAGCACTGTTATAAATTTTTTTATATGTATGTTACTTTAAAAGTTGTATAAAGCGGCATGTCTAAATTTGATTTCTTACTGACATATTGGTGATAAGCTAGGCCCTTGGAGACCCATTACATAAGGCCCGGTTAACTACGATTATATGCTTGAAATGTTGTGGTTTTTTTTTGTTATCTCTAAAATGTAGACAATAAAATTCTACAACTAATGCACCGTCGGTTACCCGCGGTATATATTCCGTACATAACCGAAGATGCAATAAAGACCACCGATGGTTGTTTCTAAAATGAACATAATAGTGGGGTAGTGGACTGAATAGCTGATTTTTTAAATCTTGGCTAAGATGATTTGAGTAATATGCTTCACTGTATATTCTCATATGAAAGTAGTCAGCTAATTATAACAGTGATCCACTTTATTGTATATGCTCATATGCAGGTGAGCTAGTATTTTTAGATAATTATGATTCCATTTATTGTTATTCTCCTGTACTCATTACTTGCAACATGAGAAAAGAAATAAAGTGGATCATTCTTGTTAACCTCATGTGCAAGTACTCATGTGCAAGTACTCATGTGCAAGTTAAGTTAACCTCATGTGCAAGTCCCTGTGATCGACTTTATAATTATTCTCATGTTCAGGCAATGAGCCAAGTATAACAGTGACCAACTTTCTTGTTATTCTCATGTGCAAGCAATGAGCTTATTAGAATAGTGATCCACTTTGTTACCGTTCTCATGTGCATTTAACGAACTAAATATAATGATGATCCATTTATTCTCACACGCAATAAAAAGCTAATCAAAATTTTGATCTACATTTTTGGTATTCTCGTCTGCAGGTAATGAGCTAATAATAATAGTGATCCAGCTTATTTAAATAGTGGTTTACTTTATTATTATTATTCACATGTCAGAAAAATGAGCTAATTATAATAGTAATTCAATTTTTGTTATTTAAATATGCAAGCAATGAGCTGATTGTAATGGTTATCCACTTTCTTTTTATTCTAAATATGCAGATCATAAGCTTTTGTAACACTGATCCACTTTCTTGTTATTCTTAATATGCTAGCAATGAGCTGATTGTAATGGTTATCCACTTTCTTTTTATTCTTAATATACAGGTCATAAGCTTTTGTAATAGTGATCCACTTTCTTGTTATTCTTAATATGCAAGCAATGAGCTGATTGTAATGGTTATCCACTTTCTTTTTATTCTTAATATACAGGTCATAAGCTTTTGTAATAGTGATCCACTTTCTTGTTATTCTTAATATACAGGTCATAAGCTTTTGTAATAGTGATCCACTTTCTTGTTATTCTGAATATGCAAGCAATGAGCTGATTGTAATAGTGATCCACTTTCTTGTTATTCTTAATATACAGACCATAAGCTTTCGTAACAGTGATCCACTTTCTTGTTATTCTGAATATGCAACCAATGAGCTGATTGTAATAGTGATCCACTTTCTTTTTATTCTTAATATACAGGTCATAAGCTTTTGTAACCGTGATCCACTTTCTTGTTATTCTTAATATGCAAGCAATGAGCTGATTGTAATAGTGATCCACTTTCTTGTTATTCTTAATATACAGACCATAAGCTTTCGTAACAGTGATCCACTTTCTTGTTATTCTTAATATGCAACCAATGAGCTGATTGTAATAGTGATCCACTTTCTTGTTATTCTTAATATGCAGGTCATAAGCTTTCGTAACAGTGATCCACTTTCTTTTTATTCTTAATATGCAAACAATGAGCTGATTGTAATAGTGATCCACTTTCTTTTTATTCTTAATATACAGGTCATAAGCTTTTGTAATAGTGATCCACTTTCTTGTTATTCTTAATATGCAAGCAATGAGCTGATTGTAATAGTGATCCACTTTCTTGTTATTCTTAATATACAGACCATAAGCTTTTGTAACCGTGATCCACTTTCTTTTTATTCTTAATATCCAGGTCATAAGCTTTTGTAACCGTGATCCACTTTATTGTTATTCTTAATATGCAGGTCATCAATTTTTGTAAAAGTGATCCACTTTCTTGTTATTCTTAATATGCAGGTCATAAGCTTTTGTAAAAGTGATCCACTTTCTTTTTTATTCTTAATATGCAGGTCATAAGCTTTTGTAATAGTGATCCACTTTCTTGTTATTCTTAATATGCAGATCATCAGCTTTTGTAACAGTGATCCACTTTCTTGTTATTCTTAATATGCAGGTCATAAGCTTTTGTAACAGTGATCCACTTTCTTGTTATTCTTAATATGCAGGTCATAAGCTTTCGTAACAATGATCCACTTTCTTGTTATTCTTAATATGCAGGTCATAAGCTTTCGTAACAGTGATCCACTTTCTTGTTATTCTTAATATGCAGGTCATAAGCTTTTGTAACAGTGATCCACTTTCTTGTTATTCTTAATATGCAAGCAATGAGCTGATTGTAACAGTGATCCACTTTCTTGTTATTCTTAATATGCAGGTCATAAGCTTTTGTAACAGTGATCCACTTTCTTGTTATTCTCATGGACAGGGAATTAGTTATATTAGTAATCATAATAGTGATTGCCTTTATTGATGCTCTCATATGTTCATTACTTGCACATTATAATGGAAAAATAAAATAGATCATTCTTGTTATTCCCATGTGGTCAGGTAATGAGATAATTATGAAAGTGGTTTACTTTATTATTTCTAACAGGTAAAAATGAGCTTATTACAAAAGTGATCAATTTTCTCACGGTTTATAACGAGTACATATAATGTTATGTTAGCCAATAGAAAGTTGCATTTTTCTAGTTATTTCCATTAATATAAAACATATATTTTAGATAAACAAGCCGGAACAAAGAAGAAAGAAAGTCAAGAATCAAAACTGCACAAAAGCAAACCTAAGAAATCCGAGTATGCAGACAAACTGTTAAAACTGACCAATAAAACACCAAGGAAAATTATAGACATCATGGGTCTTGTAAGTGCAATTTTTAAAGCTTCAATTAATCTATTTCGTATGGTGGCTGATTTGTGCCATTCGTTTTTTCGCCCCGAATGGCACAAATCAGCCACCATAATTTCGATAAACAATGTACAAGCATATTTCTTTTAATATTCAGCAAAAAGTGCATCGGCCAACATGCTTTGAACTAATAGTATTAAAGCAGCGTGCCTCAAGATTCGTGCTTGTTTTTTATAAAACTTTTGAACACTGAAACTTAAAGTAAAATATTGTGTACTGAACAAAGACAGTTATTTATACACTGTAAACAACATCACCAATCCACATAAATTACAAAAAAAAAAGAAAAAAAATATTGGCTCATCTGATCTGGAGACATATAAAGCACTCCCCTTTTAAACCAGATGTGATGAAATCGTGAAGATCTTTTTTAACGCTCTAGAACCCGCAGTCAGGAACTATGTATACATAGTACTGGAAATATGGTCGCGGCTCAAGTATGGTTACAGAGCATTATCGGTCTCTTGGTTGAGTGGCAAACACCTAAACCAATGGGCCAACACTCATATATGATCGGTATATTTGCCGTAGGGACTGTACAACTTATTTTAACGGTATTTTTATCGATACAGTTGTCAAAACAATTAAACTGATTATATCTGATATTATTTGGTTACGTTTGAACTTTATACACCCATATTATATAACGTTTAAATATTGTTTTAATAACCGTGTTTCTAATATAATGACTTACTTGTAAGAATGTACATAAAATTGCCTGAAGGTAATTATGTCGTAATTTTAACGATACTTGAAAGTAAAAAGATGTTACATTATTATATTGCGTAAGTTTAGAAAAATATTTTATATCTATTTGAATAAACAGAGGATATCCAAGTTTTTTCTATGAATACAAGATTTATTTTCATCAAGTGGTATGAAAATCAATATTTCATGAGTGGTTGTACAAGTACCTTTTAAATTACGACATAACTACCTTCAGGCTATTTTATGTACAGTGAAATATGATAATTTTCATAGCACAAGATGAAAATAAATCCTGTTAATCGAAAAAAACTTGTATTTTCTGTTTATTATACATTTTCCTCTTTTTGACATTACAATTTTAAAAACATTCCCTAGAATTGTGTGTATTAAGAAAGTAGTCCGGCATGACACCAGTGGAAATACGGAAAATATGCTTCACTAAACTGAAAATACGGAAAATGAAAATACGCAATTTTGTGTCATCAATATTTCTCAATATTTCATTTATAAGTACATGTGTATTATAAAGAGCAAGTTTCAAGTAATAAAACAATCATCTTATAAATATTCATGTTATTGTTGTATTGCTTTCAGCCACCAATTAAATTTGATCAACGGTACAAAAATCCATGCTTCATCGGTGACGTCAACAATCCATTGTTTCAAGATGGCAGACTACATTGTCTGCCATATTTCTACATCATAGGTATACATTATTATTTATATTATACTTTCCGACGAGGTGCTTAAAAATAACAGTTTAATACACGTTATATCACACAAGTCTCTCTTCATTAAAAGACATAATATAGTGCACAAATTGAGCGCACATAGAAGAATGTAATGACGTCATATAACTGCCATTTTTTAGTGATTATCGAATGTATCTCTCATGGAAACGAGATTTAAATATATATATTTTCAATCTTGTTTTATGCTTTTGAAAATATCTTAACTTTTTTTCTTACTTTTCAATATTATGTATTTCATGTTCACTGAAAACAAACAAACTAACCAACATTTGCCATGTACAAGTCAAGTTGTTTAAGCGAATTCGGTCATATCACATGACATCTCTTATTTTCATTGGATTGCAAACTATAAAACTGCATTATTTTTTTATGTCTTTATGGTCATATCCTAAGCTATTTTATCAGAGAGTGTATCTGTTATTAACACACAAGACCGTCATCCAACGGCATTTTTTATGTAGGTTGAGCTATAAGATCTCGCATGCGTAAATCACATTAGCACCTTTCTTACAGTAAGGCACTTCGACTTTATAATACAAAAGACACACGCAGATTTTAGAGCGCTCGACATTGTGGGTTCGATTCCCGGGCTAGCCAACTCAAATCACGGCTCAGTCTTTCGGATGAGACTTTAAATCGAGGTCCAGTTTTGAGTGCTTGAGAAGATTCTGGAATTGGGGCATCTATCTGTATATGTATCTTGCACTATCCTCCAAAAATCTAAAATGACTTATAGTCTTCTGGAGGACTCGCCCATATGGGCAACCGGTGGCGAGTATGAATAAACTCAAAATACACACTAAATATTATCGACAACACTGGGTAGTGTAGAGACAGGCCACATTGTTTGTAGCCCAATTTTTGTAAGCTCACTTTTGTTGGAGCATTGTCTCTATCCGCATTTTAGAAATCATGATCACAATGTAGAAAAATGTCGTGTTTTTTCCCGTTGATTTTTATATTTTTTACCCTAAATCAATGTGAAGAGATGAGATGAATTAAATGTCTTAAAGTGCATTTCGTCGGGTGGAAAATTAATAATTCAAGCGCCTTGTCCGGTATATACGGGAATACGGTACTAAGTTTGTATATTTGTATTATGATATCCCTTAAACTTTACATGGACTGCAGAAAAAAATCCATTACACAATTTCAGCAGATATTGATAATCTTTTTTCTGAGTTGGTGATTATAATATCTTGCTATATTTCTTCAATATTTTATTTTACAGGAGTTAAGAAAAGTGGTACCTCTGACTTTTTCAACAGAATCGCAGCGCATCCAGAATTTCAGACACCAAGTTTCAAGGAGGCACAATGGTTTCCTAGGTTACGCGCCGGTATAGACACTAAATTTATCACAGAAAGATCCGATTTTAAAAGTGAGTATTACTTTTAAAAATAAACTCATTTTGAGTTATTGTATCCATTTTTATTTATTTATTTATTATTTATTAATTAATTAATTAATTAATTAATTAATTAATTAACTTATTTATTTATTTATCTATTTATTTATTTATTTGTATTACTGTATTTACATATTTAATTAATTTTGATCATTTTTTTCCTTATAATTTCATGATTGATTGATTAATCAATTAATTAATTAATTATTTGAAGTTATTGATTAATAATGTCAATCACCTAAAGATATAAATTAATCAATTAGTAATTCACATTGTTAATCAATTACCAATCATGATATAAATCAATGAACTAATTATTTAATTATGAGCGACTGCTGTACGGACGGACGGGCATCTTTAGAGGATTGTCATTATAGAGTTTGTTTCTTTGATGTTTTTTTCAATCCCGCAAGTCACCTTTTTATCGAAGAAATTACAATTGTCTCTTAATGTAAAGTTGTACACAAGTCCTAACTCTGTAATGGTTATACTCTAGGATCGGACGGACAGATGTCTGGGCGCATCCATCCATCCATCCATCCATCTTAGTTGCTTCTTTTTTATTATTTATTTATTTTATTTTACTTATATTGTTATTTATTCTTATCGATTTCTTTCAAGTAAACGGATTTGCGCCAGTAAAATTGTTTAGTTTTAACCCCACAAAATAGCTGATTACTGTAAAACATAATATTCTCACCTATTATTGCAGAGAGCAAAAGTAAACCAGCTTTATTTTAAAATCTTATCTCACATGTTTTCATTTTTAAACCAACACTATTGCAGATACTATCCAAAAAGGTATTGATAATCGTAGTATAAAGTTTTACATCTCAATGTTTGATAGCGCAGCAGACGGCATTCAGAATTGCACGAGACGGAGGGTCACCACTAATAAATGTATAACTGGTAAGTTCCTATGCGACGTTCGTTTCCTCTTTCTGCGATTTTTGCGCATGCTGCTCGCGGTTTTCTCTGGCATATAATCATATTCTTAATGAAATTGTTTGATAAATTGATAAATAAATAAATAGATAAATAAATAATTAAATAGATAAATAAATAAATAAATTGCGAAAATGTTAATATAGACAATAGCGTGAAAAAAATAAAATAAAAACAACAGCTAACAACATCAGCAAGAACAACAACAACAACAACAACAACAACAACAAGTAAAACATTATTTTTTTGTGTTTCATACAGTACAAGATGCTATAAGTCAGTTTTGCGCGTGTCGCACTACACTTTTCAAAAGCGCACAGCTCATCTGTCGGTGCAGAATATATAGAGGATATTTGTTTGTTTGTGTGTAAGATGAAATTTTATTTCATCGAGTGGGCTTTAAAAACAGTATTCTCACGAGTGGCGTAGCCACGAGTGAGAATACTATTTTTAAAGTTCACGAGATGAAATAAAATTACATCTTACACAACAAACAAACAAATTTTCTTTTTATTTTATGCTTAAAAACAAGTTAAAACGAAATTTCCTTAATATTTACGTTAATATTAAAAATCTGTTTTCCCCATTGAGAGCCTAAAAAAAGTCGAATTTCTCATTAAATACAAGAAGTCATGGGCTGAAAAATAAGTTCCACAATCAACGTTGAATGGTGGTGATAGTATTCATTTTATTAAAAACATATGTTTGATCGCTTGTTTAAATAATAAAAACAAACAAATCTAGTTGGAGAAAAAGTCCAACCCTCCATCCATATTTCTGTTACTGACTGCGAATTTATATTAGACCTTGCTTTGTTAAATGTAAGCGGCCGCCATTTTTAAAGTTGTGTATTTCACTGGAGGAAAATAATTATGTTTGATTCAGAGGGATATCATTTGGATTTCTTAGTCATACACCTTTTTAAAAGAAAGAAAACTTATTTGAGGATTGTAACAGACAATAAATAAGTGTTGACACATGTGTAAACATTCAAAAAAGTGGATAGGAAATTGGAAACTTTGGAAGCCTTACGAACGCTGTTTTTTTTTTACATATTCTACGACTGAAAGCTGCCATTGCTTTTCAAGTTTTCATAAAGCATACGACAGTTATTGCTCGTAGGATACTTAAATATTCCCAAATGTCACCAAGAGCAGTTTTGCATGTGGAAGGAATGATTTTTCAGACTGTAAAAATGAAACAAAAAATTAAATAGACGATATTTGGTGATTGGTATTTTGAATGAATAGAAGTAACATACTGTAAGTTTTCTTCTTTTTATTACTTTTGACATATAAGTTATTTATCAATTTCACTTTTGCTTTTTTTTTAAACAGCCTGACATTGTCGGAATAGTCAGAAAAAATAAAATTGAGGTACCACATGGGGAAAATCTTAAAAAAAGTAGTTTCGTCATTGAAAAAGTGTGAAATTA